GTGGTTAATAATTAACTGTGGCTCAAGTGGAATGAAGGGAACACGCCAGTCATTTGCCTGTTTGTTCTCAGATCCATTCTCCGCTCTCCAGCCTGGGTCTGCATCATGGAGGTGGGGTGACGTAGACCCCCACAAACTCTGTTTCCTGGGCTCCCTGGCTGCTGGCTAGGTTCAGCCAATAAGAAACACTATCGAGGGATGGAGGATGGGAGAAAGGGAGAAGCCAGAGTATCTGTCTCCCATTCCTTGGTGTTGGGCAGCATCTCCACAGTGACTGGGTCTCCTCCGTGGCCCCTGGCTCTGTGGACTAGCTCCAGCCAGGCAGGCCGAGGGTGGTCCTCAGCCCCTAAGCTCTAGAGGGTATGGGCAGCCTCCCACCAGGACTCATCTCTGAGTTGCCTCACCCTGAGTCTTCTGTTCGGCTTCCTAGCTTTGCCATCACCTGCGTAAGCAGATTCCTATGTAACTGAATTCCTGTCGGAAACCACTAAAAAGGTCTCTGTGAGATATAAGTGTGGAGAGAGAGGGGAGGAGCATCATGTGAAGAGCCTGAATGAATGCCATAGCCACGCATTCCAAGTTTTACCTCATGGTTTCAATGATTTAGGGATGCTAAACATATAGGACAGGCCCACGCACGGAGTTTAGGGAAGACGCTAACACAACAGACCGAAAGAGGATGACAACAGCCTGATCTAAGGCAGGGGCAAAGAGAAGCCATGTTTGTGAGGCATCTCTGAGGTAAAATCCAGGGATTTAGAAATGGGTTCAGTGGAAGGGCTTAAGGAGAGGACAGTGGAGGATGGATCCCAGGTTCGTTTGGAAGAATGGGTAGTTGATGGCACCAGTGGAAGAGGATGAAGGAGAGAAAGAAAGAAGTGAGGATGTAGTAGGAGACATATGGAAGTTGGGGTCCCTTGGGAACAGTCTTAAGGGAATGGAGGTGAGTCAGATGAGCTGACATCTAATATCTCTTCCCGAAAAAATGACAGGATTTCTAGGAATGGCCACATTTCCTTTGTGGCACCAATAATTGTTTTAAAATTACCCAAGGCATTGGGGCGCCTGGGTGGCTCGGTGGGTTAAGGCCTCTGCCTTCGGCTCAGGTCATGATCCCGGGGTCCTGGGATCGAGCCCCACGTCGGGCTCTCTGCTCGGCGGGGAGCCTGCTTCCTCCTCTCTCTCTCTGCCTGCCTCTCTGCTTACTTGTAATCTCTCTCTCTGTCGAATAAATAAATAAAATCTTTAAAAAAATAAAATAAAATAAAATAAAATTACCCAAGGCATCAAAAAAATTTTTTTTACTTTACAAAAATTTCAGTTGTCATTTTAGTGATGGCATTTGACATAAGAGGTTTATTAGATCTATGTCAGAAAAGTAAGATCTGGAGACAGAAAACATCCTGGAGAGAGAGCAATGGGAAAATTCCTTGAGCCAGTACTGAAGTCTGTCCTTCCCGCTCACACCTGTGGCTATAGCGCAGCCCTTCTTTACTCCCTACTTGGGATTTAACTGGTGCTGCTTCCCCCAAGGCAACCACCATTCAGTCCTGTGTGACCCTCCACCCCTTACTAGGTCCAAGATCCCTCCTGCTAATGACTTCTAGGGTCCAGGGGCTGTTGGTGAGTGTATAGAGGTGCCTGGGAAGGGTTTGAGAGGCTTATAGTCTTCCCCCACGACTCCTTTGTAAGGGAGGGTCCTGAGAGCTGCAGAGTCAAGAGAGGCTGCTTTCTCTGAGAGGTGGGACTGACAGGGCTGGGGAACAAGGAGGGGGCAAAGAGTCTGGCCAGGAGCACCAGGATGGCCCTTGAGCCATAGGCAATGGAGGGACAACCCCACACTGGCCAATGAAAGCTACCAATCCAGGATGGGCAGCTAGAAGGCAAGCTCCCCCTTCCTCAGCCCTGTTCAGGCCTCACCAGAAGCATAAGGAACCAACTCCCTGGCGCTCGCATTCGGCAACAGGGCACAGGTGCAAATATGCTCTTCCCCAGACCCAGTCGAGAACCAACCAAGGGTCCTGGGCTGAAATTAAAGGAGGAGAGATGGGGTTAGTGATGACGAAAAGTTAAAATGTCAAATCCCTGATGCACTGACCCAAGGAGACTCTGGAATCTGTGCCCATCTGGGAGGACAGGCAGTTCCCGCTCTCAGGCACCTGGTCCTTGAATTCTGAGATTCTGCGCTTCCAAGAAGAACAGTTACTACCAGGAAAGTGGAAAAAAAGAAGAAGGAGGAGGAGAAGGAGGAGGAGGAGGAGGAGGAGGAGGAGAAGGGGAGGGGAGTGAGAAGGAGGAGGAGGGGGCAGGGGAGGAGGAGAAGGGGAAGACGACACTTTATTTAGTATGTTATCCGCATGGCATGAGGGAGACGTGAGATGCATTTAAACGTGGTTACCAAAGCCTCAGTCTTCAACGGCGTAGGAAGATCCTTCCTCGGAAGACGAAACCCCTCAAGGCAACCGCTAGGCCTCTGCGCCAACCCTCGACCTTCTCTTCCTATCTACCGTTTCCACAGCTTTCAGCACAACAATGATACAACTACTGTGTGAACTCTGGGAGAAACTGGTTTTATTTTCATTAACCTTTAGCCATGTAGGTCAGACAAAGAGGAAGGGCCTTGGAGAAATGCAGAAGTAATGTGGCCATTTTCCGTCAGGCGGAATGTGGGACGGAGACCATACAGAGACCGGATCATTCCATGACAACCAGACAATACGTGACCACAGCCTACTTGACCCACAGCCTATCGAGTGGTTGGCTGGCTTTAGTGTTGCAGAGGCAGAGGTAAGGGTGTATTTTCTTTTCCTTACACTTTCCCAGGAGACGGTTTTCTTGGATCCAGGATGAATGATGTGGGTAAGAGTTTAATTCCTTTGAAGAGAAGTGTGATTTCTCTCCAAACTGTCAGGACACGCCCGTTTCCCCATTTTCCTGGGAGTGCAGCAAAGCACCGCTGGTGAAGAGAGGGGGTTCTAGGGCTGACAAGCATCCCTGCGCCCCTCCTGGGGTGCCCACCCCTATGCGCCCTTAACATCAATCTCCCCTACGGGGAAGCCTCGGAGCCCATCTCAAGTCCACTTGGCTCCAAGGGATGCTGGAGCAGACCTTTTAGCTTGGCTCTCAGAACTTAAGACCAAGAGGGAAAAAAAAAAAGAGAGAAAGAGAGAGAGAAAACACTACTGATCTTCCGAGACAAAAGCTTCCTCTTTGGGAAGTTTCGACTCTAGTCTCTCAGCCGCCAGCCTCAGGTCCGACCTCTTCCCAGTCCTCCCTGCTGTCCGGGCTCAGCTCCTTGGTGAGCTCCTCAGGGAGGGGCTGTCCTCCTTGGTCTCCAGACGCTCAGAGCCAGCCCCATGCCTGGCCCAGAGTGCTCAGTCAGTGTTCACTAAATAGGGGAATTCTAGGATTAATGTGAGACCTTCCTGAAAAGGGGCTGTTGGAAGGAGGGCCACGAAGACAACCGAGGGCAAATCTGAATGAGGCAGACAGACGGCGAGGGGCAAAATGAAAAGATGCGAATGGAGAAAAAAAAAAAAAAGAAAAGATGTGAATGGAAGTAACGGTTGGAACTGGAGAAGGGTCAGGCTTACACTCAGCGAGCCTGTCTAGGCTCAGAGTCAGCTGATTTACGTGCAGGGTCTCGTTTTAATCCCGACAGCAACCGGATTGTTACCTCATTAGCGTCCCCAGGTTGCTAAATGAGGAAACTTGGAGATTTCCCATGGCCAGGAAGCAGTGGAGGCCCTTAGGGGATAAAGAGGTGCTGGGGTTCCTCTCTGTTTCTCCAAAGCCTGCCAAGAGGCAGTGTGGGATGCTGGCCACTGCCGTGGGCTCTGGCACGCTGTCGACCTGCCCGGGCACAAATCCCCATTCCATCCCTGAACAGCTGTATGATCTCAGGCAAATTACTCAGTCTCTATGTGTCTCAGTTTCTTCATCTAGAAAATAGTGATAATGATAATAGTAGTTACCTCAGAGAATCTTTGAAGATCAAATAAGTTAATACTGCACATCAAGGGTCAGCCGGCCCACCACTTGTTTTTGTCAATAAAGTTTTATTGGAACACAGCCATGTTAATTTGTTTACCTATCATCTAGGGTTGGTTTTGTTGTTGTTGTTGTTGTTTTTGCTACCACAGCTGAGTTGAGCAGCTGTGCCACAGACCATATGGCCCAAAGCCTAAAGTATTTACTTTCTGATTCTTTACAGAAAAAGTTTGCTGACTCCGGTATGCATGAAGAGCTTATAATGGTGGTACACAGGAATGAGGAGGAGGAGGAAGGGGATGACTAAGCATTTGCCTCAGAGCCCGTCCACCAAGGTCCCCCCACTCTGGTAACACCCTGACTGTCTGACCAGTGGGCCATTGTATCAGGCTCTGGGGACCAGGGAAGAACAGGAGAGAGGGTCCAAGTCTGCTCCAGTGGGGCTTACAATGGAGGAGACAAGGGAGTAACCACAAAGGAGGTAGTTAACAAACTGTGGTAAGTCCTCTGAAGGAGATCAACAGGATGTTGAGATAAAGAAACAGAAGCAGCTACTGCAGACAGGAAGGCCTTCTGGAGGAGGCGACATATGAACAGCCAGGAGAGGATGAGAAGGAGCGAGCGTGAGGACCCGCGGAACAGACCCCACAGGCGGAGGGACAGCAAGGGTAATGACTGCTTCTGGGAAAGGCTTTGCCATGTTTGGGAAACACAGAGGAGGCCCGCGTGGCCTAATGTCAGGGACAAGAGGAAGAGCAGGAGACGGGGCCAAGGCCAGATCGCATGGGCTGGGCTGCCCGCAGGAAGAAATCCGGGTTCATTCTAAGAACAAAGCCACGAGAAACAGCAGGAGTATTTTAAGGAACTAATGGCAGTGTCTGCTCTGGAGCCTAAGAAGACCAGGGCGGGTGCCACATGGAGAACGGCCTCGGAGGGCCGGGGACAGGGGGACTGCGGTGGGGAGGCTGATGGAGTGGAGATGCTGCCGCAGTGGGGCAGAGAGCACAGACCTGGACGCTGGTGGTGGCGGGGAAATGGAGCTGTCCAGTGACCGTATGCGAGGCTGGGGGGCTGGGGGGCTAGGAGGACCGGCGGCCTACTCCAGGACTGGGCCTCAACACCTGGGTGGAGGTGGTGCCTGCTGAGATGGGGAAGAATGAAGGCAGAGGGAGGGAGGTCAGGTGTCATCTGGGAGCACAGGGAGAGAGCCACCCCTTTTCCTGAAGACACTCCTTCCCTTCAGAGACGATGACCTCAGGCCCCACCCCACCCCAGGGCGACTTGCCTAAATAGTCCCCCTTCTTTCCTCTGGTCTTTTCATGCTCGTGTGTTCCCTCGCTCACCGCTCTGCAGGGCATGCCCTTGCTTTCTCTGTGTCCCTGTGTTCCTCCCCCAGCCCCTGTGATAGTGACCAGCGGCAGTTCTAATGGCAGAGCTGAGTCCCGAGAGCCCACCCACAGTCCCCTCCCGCACAGCCGGGACCCCGTGAAGCCTCGAGTCACATCACACCCTGTGGGTGGGCCTGGCTCCTCTCGGACGCATTGTCACTCACGTGCAGAAGCTGCACCTCCCCCCGCACGGCGCAGCCCCCCGCATCGGGGACCCTTGACTCAGCGACGTGCTCTTCCTCCACCCGGAGCCGCCTTTCTCATGTCTCTATCTCCTCCTCCACACGTTCTCCTCCTCACTTCACCCAATGCGTTATTCTGAATTCATGGTTCCACGGGACTATCTCCCACTAAAGGTTTATTCATTCAATCACTTGTTGTCAATCATTCCTTTGCGAAGCAACTACTGTACGTAGACACTGACGGGGAAACAGGAAGGCGGCAAGGAGAGCCCAGATTCCTCACGCCCCCACCGGCACCCCACCCTGGGGGGGGGGCAGTGGGCTTCAGCCCAGCAGCACCTGCTCCCGCCACTCCCCCCTTCCCCCACCCTTCCATTGCCAGCTCCAGAGCAGGGCCTGCAGACCTGGGTCCCTCCTAGGCTTCCCCTGCAGCCTGGCCTGTTCTCCCAGGTCTCTGAACCCTGCCCTTGAACAAGCTGGGGGCCCTGAATCATCTGGACGATGGGTGGGCGGTGGGGGGGGGGTGCCCAAGTGCTTGGGAAATGCATATTGTATTAGTTCGATGACCTAAACTGTAATCACACAATCAGACTCACCAATTAGTCTGTCCTAAATTGCACCCTGCTGCCCTTTATGTGGCATTTGGTACTTCCTCCTTGAAACCCCCTGATCCCTTGGTCCAACACTGTGCTGCGTGGCCTTCTCCCACCCCTGGCCACACTTCTGCAGGGCTCCCTGTGGGACTCCCCTGAGGTTGGGTCAGCCTCTATCCCCCAACCTCACCAAATTCCCACCTCTCCTCATGGGAAAGGCCGCCTCATCCCAACCGGACTTCTTTCCAAATGTGGGTGGGGATCCCTACTTCAGCACAGCCTGGGGCGTCATCTGAGCCTTAGGATTTTCTCGGCCTCTCCCTTCCTGACCACCCTATCTCCTCACATACACGGGGAGACAGAGATTCCAGGGGCCCGGCAAGCAGAGCCACGTGGCAGTTTGGAGACACAGTCAATAGACAATGGCTGAGACGCTGAGATCTGGCTTGGAATTCAGAAGCCTTTGCCTGGCCCCATCATTCATGGGCTACGGGTGCTCTGTGGAAAGGGGAGAGACCCGAGAGCTCCCTAGACAGGATACACAACAGACATGCCAAGGTGGATTCAGAAGTCTTGGCTTGACCTTTTGGCGACTTTTAGCTACCAAAGGCCAACATCACTCTAGCCATGCCTCATCTCCACACGAGCTCACACACAGGTTCCTCTGGGCCAGATCACATCTCCAAAGCGGACCACAGACGTGTGAAACACTGCCGGCTGCCTCACAGCCCCGAGAGGCTGGGGCTGGGGCAGGAGTCGATGTTCTGCAAGGGGCAGACAGAGCTACCCCCTTCCAACCAGTGGGAGACCAGCTCCCGCCCAGGCCCAGGGAGAAAGCGGATGGGACCAGAGGTGGCCCTCTTATGCCAGCTCTGTACTGTGGCCATATAACCTAGAAGCTTCCTGAGGTCTGCTACTCCAGGTGTAGCCCAGATGCCCAGCCCATACAAGGGCAGGAGTCCTTGAGTCCTGCTCATGGAATGTTCTAGCCCCTCACACAACCCTGGACATTGGGTTCTTGGGATCAAGACAGAAGAGGGAGAGACGGAAGCAAGCCTGGTGGGGGGGGGCGGGGGAGGGGCAAGAGAAAGAGAAAGAATTTGAAAGAATGGCTTCCCCCCAGTCAGTTGTACAAGGGCTTAAGAGATCAGCAAGCTAAGGTGTCACAGCTTTGGAAACACCGTGACCCTCATCAAACCAAATCTCAGGCAGAAACATCAGTAATTTGGGTGCCTGTGGTTCAGTCAGTTAAGCGTCTGCCTTCAGCTCAGGTCATGATCCCAGGGTCCTGGGATGGAGCCCCGCATCTGGCTCCCTGCTTGGCCGGGAGCCTGCTTCTCCCCCTCCCTCTGTGCCCCCGCACTCCTGTTTGCAATCTCTCTTTCTGTGTGTCAAATAAAGAAATGAAATCTTTTTTAAAAATAAAAAGAAAAGAACATCAGTAAATTAAAAAGTGTACCGAGGAATTATTTTGGTGGGAACCAGGCCTGTTTGGGTTTCCTATGATCTATACCCCTCTGGAAACATTTTTGGATAATCTTGGAGGTTCCACGGTTTGATTTTTCAAGATAATAACACTAACACTACCACTCACACACACTAGTACTTAGCAGTTTGTAGGTTCACACACAACATCACACCCAGTCCTTGCACTAACCCTGTGGCAACATTACCAGCGTCACAGTGCTGATGAAGTCCGTACCTGGGGCCCAAGCCGTCAAGCCACTTGCCACACACTGCACAGCTAGCATGTGGCAGAGCAGGATGTCAGTCTAGACTCCCTGACTCCGAGTCCAGTGCTCTCGGCTCTGTGTCATGGCCAGAGGGAAATTCACCCCATTCCACCTGACACGGAGAGAGATCTGGGTGAGAGGCAGCACAGTCTAGAGACCAGCTCTGGAATCAGACCGTGGGGTTCAATTCCTTCTGCCACCCACTTACCTGGGTCCTCTCTTCCTCATCTGGCAAATGGGACAATCATAGTAACCTGACTCTAAGGCTTGGAGTTGGGACTAAATGTGTTGAATCATGTAAATTACTAGCACACAGTGCCCTACGCATAAAGGAGCTACTTAATATCCACGCGTGTCCATCCTTCACGCCCGGTCAGCATTTATACAGCGCCTGCTGTGTGCAGAGGCCCCTGCCCTGCCTCACTCTACAGTGGGGGAGGACCCCAAGTGACCAGACAGTTCCGGTCCCCCAGACACGTCAGTCCCGGTGGGGAACATTCCTCAATACCAAGTCCAACAAGCGTTTGCCTGAAGAGTGTGAGTGAAGAGTGGAACATGCTAGAGATGCCAGCCTGGACACCTTCCCCCAGAGAAACAGACCTGTTTGGGAGCCTACTTGTTGCAATACTTTAGCCTAGCCTATAATGTACTTCAGAATTGGGATCTCTCAGTAGCAGCTAGAAGTCAGCTTACGAAACAAGTTTCTGGGTACAGTCTACAGCAGGTCGTCATGTGAGACACACGGAACTGGACCGCTGGGCCAGCCTCTAGACCATTCCCCTCCTCCCCACTGGCCGCTCCTCATTTCCCCACGGCTCAGAGGACCCAGGCTGGTGCTCTTCTCTCCACATTCCTTCTCCGGCTGAGCTCACCTTGGCTCCCGCGTTGGATGTCATCTGAGGCTGACAGCGCCCCGATTTCTATCTGCAATCTGGACCTCTCTTCATCCCAGCCGCCTGGCCCACACCTCCCTATTCACTCACCAGACCCCTCAGTAGTAATACAGCCAAGCCCCCGACCTGCTCCTCCCCGGCCTTCCTCCACCCCAGGGAAAGAGCACCACCCATCACCCTACTGCTTGGACACAAACTTCGGGATCACCCTTGGCTCTTCCTACTCTGCCCCCCACAACAGAGCTCTTCTTCCTCCCGGCTCTTCTCCCAAACATCTCAAACTGCTGCTCCCTACTTTTGGCACAACTCCTCTGCTCCAAGCCGGCCTCATCTCCCCACCAGAAGCAGCACGGGTCTCTTAGCTGGCCTCCTGCCTCTGCCCTTCCCTGTGGAGCCCAGTCACACGCCAGCAGCCAAACCATCTGTTGAAAAACAGAAGTCAGATGTGCCACCCCTCTGCTCTCAGGGGTAAAGCCAGTGTTCTTCGAGGCCTGCACGATCTGGCCTGTCCTCATTTTCCAGCGCTCTCCTCCTGTCCACACTTTCTAGCCACGCTGGTCGTGCTTCTTCTTGACTGCTGTGAGAGCCCTGACTTGCTGTCTGTCCGCCTGATGCCGGAATGGCTTGTTCCCACACTTCAGCTGTCTGCTCAAATGTTGCCTCACAAGGGAGGCCTTCGCAGAGCACCCCACCTGGAAACACTACCTCCCTGACTACACACCCCCTCCCCTGAGGGATTTTTCTCCAAAGCGTTCACCACCATCAGGCGTGGTATGGGTTCACTTCTTTACCGCCAAGCCTCCCCGGCCGGAACACACACCCCGCGGGGACAGAGGGGATTCTTTGGTTTGCTGAGGCCCCGACACTTGGAACGGTGCAGTGACAGGTACACCACAGACACTGACGGAAAGACTGAACGGCTTGCCTTACGGAAAGCTTCATGGCCCACCCACCCTGCTTTCCCATGCCTGAACCATCTCATCTCAACTCTTAAGTCCTGACGTCCCACCAGTTCCAGTTAGACATGGCAACGCTGGCCGGTGCTGGCTGACTTGGGGAGGAGGAGTCAGGGTCAGGAGGGGCAGGTTCCACCAGATGGGGCTGGAAAAGCCGAGTTTGAGCCTCACTCCTCACCCCTAGTAATAGGAGCTAGCCCTTGGGGAGGTGGCACGGGGGCAAGGGGGGGAAGATGCCGGAAAGGATTTTTAAAGGTAGACAGGCCAACCTTTCCATCAATAAACACGTATGGGGCCCTCACCCAAGAGCCTCATGAGGTGCTAGAGAGCGGACATCATATCTGCCAGGGTCTTTTTCTGGAGGCGTCACCATGCTGACAGGTAACAGAGTTTGAG